CCCAAATGCCTGCAATAGCCAGGGCTGGGCCAGGCCAAAGTCAGGAGCCAGGAACTCCATCTGGGTCTCCCACATGGGTGGCAGAACCCAATTATTTCATCACCTGCTGCCTCCCAGTATGTATATTAGCAGGCAACGGGAATGGATCAGAGCCAAGACCTGAACCCAGCTCACATGGGATGCCAGCACTGCAGGCAGTGGCTTTACCTGCTATACCATAGTGCTGGCCCCAACCTACCTTTTATACTTCTCATTTCTTATCTACTATATTTTGTGTTTTATCTACCCATACCTTTCTGGAAACCTTATACTATTTTTTTGTAAAGATTTATTTATTTGAAGGGCAGAGTTACACTGAGAGATTTATCCTCTGGTTCACTCCCAAACGGCCCCAGTGGCTAGGGCTGGGCCAGGCTGAAGCCACGAGCCTGGAATTCCATTTAGGTCTCCCACATGGGTGGTGGGGCCCCAAGCACTTGGGCCATCTTCTGCTGCTTTTCTAGGAGGATTATCTGGGAGCTGGATTAGAAGTGGGACAGCTGGGACTTGAACTAGCTCTCATGGGATACCAGCGTTGCAGGCAGTAGCTTAACCTCTGAAACTGATGTGCTACAATGCCCACCCCAAACCTTATGCTATTATCTCTTTTTTTCTCCTATTTATTCCCAGTCATTGGAATGTTTTCATTTAAACTTGCCCAAGTTTTTCCAGTTTTACAAAAGCAGTTTCATTGAGTTCACATCTCTCTCCAACTACCACTTAACTCCTTTCTCTTTGATAGTCAAATTTAATTTTTTTAATCTTTTAAATAAGATTCACCATCTTTTATTTACATAATTATGATATACATTAAGTGGTCCTATCCCAATTAAAATCGCTGTGGGGGTTTTGTGGGGTTTGGTGTAGGAGGTAAGGACAGGGCGAAATGGGCGGGGAGAGAAAAAGAAAGAAAAGGCTCTTCCTTTGCCGTTGGTTCACCCTCCAATGGCCGCCATGGCTGGGGCGCGGTGGCCCGCGCACCGTGGCTGATCCGATGGCAGGAGCCAGGAGCCAGGTGCTTTTCCTGGTCTCCCATGGGGTGCAAGGCCCAAGCACCTGGGCCATCCTCCACTGCACTCCCTGGCCACAGCAGAGGGCTGGCCTGGAAGAGGGGCAACTGGGACAGAATCCGGCGCCCCGACCGGGACTAGAACCGGGTGTGCCGGCGCCGCGCTAGGCGGAGGATTAGCCTAGTGAGCCGCGGCGCCGGCTCTATCCAATTAAATCTAATTCACTTCTTATAATTCAAAACCAGCTATACAGCTATTAAAACAATGGGCAATTTGCAAATTAAAGCCACAGTTCTTTTTAAAAAAAAAATTTAATTATTTATTTGAAAGGCAGAGATACAGATGTGTGAGGCAGAGACAGAGTGAGAGAGAGAGGTTTTCCATCTACTGGTTCATTCCCCAACTGACCGCAATGGCTGGAGCTGGGCCAATCTGAAGCCAGGAGCCAGGAATTTCTTCTGGGTCTCCCTTGTGGGTACAGGTGCCCAAGGACTTGGGCCATCCTCTACTGCTTTCCCAGGCCATAGCTGAGAATTGGATCAGAAATGGAGCAGCTGGGACTTGAACCGGCACCTGTATGGGATGCTGGTATGGGAAGGGGCGACTTTACCCACTATGCTGGTATGGGGGTGCCGGCCTCCAATAGCCAAACTTCTTGAAACAGCTGTTTTCCCATTTTCTTCTTCCTACACCTTCTACAACACACTTAACTGGCTTTAATCTTAATCTTTGATGATAAAGTGACTGTTGACCATCAAGTCACTAAATTTGATGTATGATTTTAGTCCTCATCTTACTTGAACAGTTTTTAAAAGATTTTACTTATTTGAAAGGCAGAGTGACAGAAGGGGATGACTGAGAGAGAGATCTTAAGTCTGCTGGTTTACTCCCCAAATGGCCACAATGACCAGGGCAGCGCCATGCTGAAGCCAGGAGCCTGGAATTCCATCCAGGTCTCCAACATGGGTGGCAGGGGCCCAAGCACTTGGGTCATTTGCTGCTTTCCCAGGTGCATTATGGAGCAAGGATCAGAAGTGGAGCTGCTGAGACTCTAACTGGCACTCTGGTATGGGATGTTGGTGTCACAGACAGTGGCTTACCTGGCTGTGCCACAAACTTACCTGACCCCTTATGCAAAATTTGATACTCACGATCATTTCCTCTTTGAAATACTTTTATACATCAACTTCTGTGTCCCATCATCCTCTTTGGCATTGTACTTCTCTGGTCATTTCTTTGAAATTCCTTTACTGGCTCCTGCAGGCCAGTTTGTGATGAAGTTCCTCAGGATTCAGTCCTAGGCTCGCTCTTTTCTAGACGCTCTCAATTATGCCTATGACTTCAAATACCACCCACATGCAGATGACTCACACATTTTTATCCCTAAGCCATATCTGTGCTCTGAGGTCCTGATCTAGTAAGGATTTTGTAAGTGTTGGCTATTTTCACTACTGCTACTATTTTTCGCAAAAGCTTTTACTTCAATCTATTTAGAATGTTGGAAGGGTGTGTGTTTGGAGGTGGGGACATATCTCTTACCAATTTTGTAAGATTGCAATAACAAAATAGACAATTAGTTTTTGCTACCCTATCAGATGATAACATTTACTACAGCGTTGCATCAGCTTCAGAATGAAAGATTGCATTCACCTGCTGAGGGAGTACAGTATCTCATATAGAATAGCACTGTGTTAGATGCTTCTACTCAAAATTTTTTTTAATATTTATTTTATTTATTTGAAAGGCAGAGATTACAGAAAGGGGGGAGGGGGAGAGAGAGAGAGAACAAGCAAGTGAGCTTCCATCCACTGGTTTACTCCCCAAATGGACGCAATGGCCAAGGCAGGGCCAGGCTGATGCCAGAAGTTTCATCCAAGCCTTCCACATGAGTGCAGGGGCCCAAGGACTTGGGCCACATTCTTCTGCTTTCCCAGGCACATTGACAGGGAGCTGGACCGCAAGTGGACCAACTGGAACTCAATCTGCCCATATAGGACGCCGGCATTGAAGGCAGTGGCTTAACCTGTTATGCCACAACACCAGCGCCTATTCACATTATTTTACTTAATCTTCACATCTACTTTACAAAGTAGATAATATTATTTCAACTTATTACAGATGAGGAAACCAAGATTCAAAGAAGAAAATAACAGGGCCAGCCCTGTAGCGTAGCAGCTAAACCTGCTGCCTGTAGTGCCAGCATCCTGTATGGGTGCTGGTTCGAGTCTTGGCTGCTCCACTTCTGATCCAGCTCCTAGGATCAGAATGTGCCTGGAAAAGCAGTGGAGGATATCCCAAGCCCTTGGGCCCCTGCACCCATGTGGGAGACCCAGAAGAAGCTCCTGGCTTTGGCTTGGCCCAGCCCCAGTTGCTGCAGCCATTTAGGGAGTCAACCAGAATATACAAGACCTCTCTCTCTCTCTCTAACTCTGCCTTTCAAATAAAATAAATAAATCTTTTTCAGAAAAGGAAATAGCTTGCTTGAGGTTACATAGCTACTAATTAAAACATCAATCATTGGGAAGTCATTGTTACAGCTCTCCATAACTTTAGAGCCCTGCAGGGATCTTAGAAGAAGAGATTGACATCACACCCCTCCAGCCCAGCCCAGCCTAGCAGACTCCTTTTTCACAAGCTTCACTGGGGACCAGGGAGGCCTTTGGTTGATCAGTGATATTTTACACGGATACAAGGCTTTTCCAACAAGCTACATCTCTCTTTTTTTTTTTTTTTTTTTGACAGAGTTAGAGACAGAGAAAGGTCTTTCTTCCGTTAGTTCACCCCCCAAATGGCCACTATGGCCGGTGCACTGCGCCGATCTGAAGCTAGGAGCCAGGTGCTTCCTCCTGGCCTCCCATGCGGGTACAGGGCCCAAGCACTTGGGCCATCCTCCACTACCTTCCCGGGCCACAGCAGAGAGCTGGACTGGAAGAGGAGCAACCAGGACAGAATCCGGCGCCCCAACCAGGACTAGAACCCGGGGTGCTGGCACCGCAGGCGGAGGATTAGCCAAGTGAGCCGTGGTGCCGGCCCAAGCTACATCTCTCATCACCTGATCTCTAACCTCAGTGGGACCCCAGGTACACCCTGTCTCACTTCATCCACATCAAATAATTATGTCCCTGTTACACTCCACACTTCATGGGCAGCGACTTCAGTGTTTCTGGCATGGGAACCCCTGCCTTCACTGTCCTCCCTTCCTCCCCTACCCCGCACACCCCTTTCTGCTCCCAAAGTCCCTGAACAGTGCTAGAGGGAGAACCAGGCAGACAAATATAAATGCATGCAGTCCAGTTTCGACTTGGCCCTTGCAGCTGCTCAGCAACCTCTTTATTTGTCTCATACATTCCCTGGCACTCTCCCACAGGGGCTGCTCCAGACTGTCCTCTTCTTAAATTCCAGCTCCTGTTTCACTCCTTCAGACTAATACGCACTTTCATCCCATGCTCGAGAATTCAGTGTCATTCTTTTTAAAGTTTTTTTTATTCCAGAAACCTTTTTTAAAATTTTTTTATGGATATTTTATGACTTGTACAAAAATAAGCAGAATAGCATAATGACTCCCCATCTATGAAACATTCAGTTTCAAGTAGTATCAACTCTAGGGCTGCCTTATTTCACATGTATTCCCATCTACTTCCTCCTTCCCATGTTATCTTGGAAAATATCACAGGCATTATGTCATTCCATTCCTAAATCTCTTGGTGTATCATTAAAAGGTAAGGATCCTTTGAAAAAAAAATCCTAATTGTAATACCAGTAGCACACATAAAAGAAGTAATTCCTTGATATAATTGAGTCAATATTTAAATATAAAAAAATTATACAGCTTTTTTTGGAATTAGTATTCAGATAAAGTACACATATTTTCATTGGTGGGATATGTATTGCATGTCACTTTTAAACTAAAATTTGTCCTTCGTTCCCACCCACCCCGCCCCACCCCCGGCTTTGGAATTTTATTTTTTTTGTTTTTCAGTAGAGTTTCATGCAGTCTGGGTTTTGCTGATTACATCTTTGTTGCATAGTTTAACATGTTCCCTTGACCTCTGTATGTTGTATAGATTCATAAAATCAATAACATCTTTACAGTACATCTTTTCTATTCAGTGTTCTGTTTTTAATGGTGTGAGGAAATTGTCCTTGTGACCAAGGAAATAGAAGATGTCTGATTTGGAGAGTGACTCAGGAAGGAGCTGGGACCTCTTTAGCAGGGCTGAAACAGATGGTTGGGGTCAAAGCTCAATAAATAGAAACGGAGGTCCAGGAGAGATAGGATGGATGGGTGAGGGGCCACGTGGTGTCAGATTTCCACTCAACTGGTATGTAGAGCAGGACTGGCAGGAAAATAACCAGGATGAAGTCAGAACTGCAAAAGGAGAAGGAACAGTTGGGATTAGTTCACAGGATTACTTGGCTCACTATACCCTTTTTTCTGAGTAGATCTTATTCATTCTCACTTCTGTATCCTTGCCCAGGATGTTTCTTCTAGCTGAAATATCATCTCTTTCCACCTATCCAAGCCCTGCTTTACCAATGAGTGCAAGTTCCCCTTTTCCATATTTTTGCTTATGGTCATAAAATATCTCTAGAAGGATAAATAAGAGACAAATAACATCGATGGCTTTTTCAGGAAGGGAACTGGAGGGCTAGAGGACTTAGCTGAAGGGGAGAAAGATGTTACTGATTTGTTGCATGAGGAATAGTTAATTTGATGAAACTCTCTAATATGAAATCTTTGCAAGTAGAAGGAGGAAGACTGGAATTTTTAGTTTGAGGAGAAAGAGGACAGTCTGGAGCAGCCCCTGTGGGAGAGTGCCAGGGAATGTATGAGACAAATAAAGAGGTTGCTGAGCAGCTGCAAGGGCCAAGTCGAAACTGGACTGCATGCATTTATATTTGTCTGCCTGGTTCTCCCTCTAGCACTGTTCAGGGACTTTGGGAGCAGAAAGGGGTGTGCGGGGTAGGGGAGGAAGGGAGGACAGTGAAGGCAGGGGTTCCCATGCCAGAAACACTGAAGTCGCTGCCCATGAAGTGTGGAGTGTAACAGGGACATAATTATTTGATGTGGATGAAGTGAGACAGGGTGTACCTGGGGTCCCACTGAGGTTAGAGATCAGGTGATGAGAGATGTAGCTTGTTGCAAAAGCCTTATATCCATGTAAAATATCACTGATCAACCAAAGGCCTCCCTGGTCCCCAGTGAAGCTTGTCAAAGAGAGTCTGCTAGGCTGGGCTGGAGGGGTGTGATGTCAAACTCTTCTTCTTCTTCTTTTTTTTTTTTTCGACAGGCAGAGTGGACAGTGAGAGAGAGAGAGAGAGAGAGAGACAGAGAGAAAGGTCTTCCTTTACCGTTGCTTCACCCTCCAATGGCCGAGTGGGCCGCAGCCGGCGCACCACACTGATCCGAAGCTAGGGACCAGGTGCTTCTCCTGGTCTCCCATGTGGTGCAGGGCCCAAGGACCTGGGCCATCCTCCACTGCACTCCCGGGCCACACCGGAGAGCTGCACTGGAAGAGGGGCAACCAGGACAGAACCCGGCGCCCCACCCGGACTAGAACCCGGGGTGCAGGCACCGCAGGCGGAGGATTAGCCAAGTGAGCCGCGGCACCAGCCCAGGTTTTTTTGTTTTTTTTTTTTTTTTTTTTTTTTAAGATTTATTTGAAAGTCAGAGTTACACAGAGAGAGAGAGGTCTTCCACCCGCTGGTTCACTCCCCAACTGGCTGCAAAGCCAGAGCTGTGCTGATATGAAGCCAGGAGCCGGGTGCTTCTTCTGGGTCTCCCAAGTGGGTACAGGGGCCTAAGGACTTGGGCCATCTTCTACTGCTTTCCCAGGCCATAGCAGAGAGCTGGATCAGAAGTAGAGCAGCCAGGTCTTGGACCGGTGCCCATATGGGGTGCTGGCACTGCAGGTGGTAGTTTTACCCATTCTGCCACAGTGCCAGCCCTGTGACTGAGATTTTAAACAGGTAGATTTCTCATGAAAACTGGAGTTCCTGCAAAATACATGGTGAGAGTAACAAAGAAAATTAAAGAAGCTACTATTGGGCCTTTACTAGGATCCAGACACAATAATATATATATATAAAATATATGTGTATAATTTATAATATATATATACAATTTATAATATATATGTGACAGGTGTGTGTTATTGAAAATGCTGCATGGATTTCAAAAATTTTTACAACAAAATAGATATATTTACTCATTATTCAAAGATTTATTTAAAAGGTTTTTATTTACTTGAAAGGCAGAATTGCAGAGAGAGAGGGAGAGACAGAGAGAGATCTTCCATCTGTTAGTTTACTCCCCAAATTGTCACTACGGATTACGAATGGAGCTTTACTGATCTGAAGCCAGGATCCAGGAGCTTCTTCTGGGTTTCCCATGTAGACACAGGGGCCCAAGCACTTGGGCCATCTTCCACTGCTTTCTCAGGCCATCAGCAGGGAGCTGTAGTGGAAGTAGAGCACCTGGGCTGGCGCCACGGCTCACTTGGCTAATCCTCTGCCTGCGGCGCCGGCACACTGGGTTCTAGTCCCATTCAGGGCGCCGGATTCTGTCCTGGTTGCTCCTCTTCCAGTCCAGCTCTCTGCTGTGGCCCAGGAAGGCAGTGGAGGATGGCCCAAGTGCTTGGGCCCTGCACCCGCATGGGAGACCAGGAGGAAGCACCTGGCTACTGGCTTCAGATCGGTGCAGTGCACCGGCCATAGTGGCCATTTGGGGGGTGAAGCAACAGAAGGAAGACCTTTCTCTCTATCTCTCTCTCACTGTCTAACTCTGCCTGTCCAAAAATAAAAAAATAAAGGAAGTAGAGCACCTGGAATTGGAGCTGGTGCCCATATGGGATGCAGGCGCTACAGATGGCAGCTTAACCTGCTATGCCACAGTGGCAGCCCTACTATTTGTTTATTTAAAATTCAGAGTTAGAGAGAGAGGGAGACACAGAGAGATCCTTTATCCACTAGTTTACTCCCCAAATGGCTGCAGTGGCCAGGGCTGAGTCAGGTCAGAGTCAAGAGCCAGGAGCTTCATTGGCTTCTACCACATGTGTGGCTGGAACCCAAGCATTTAGGCCATCTTCCGCTGCTTTCCTAGGTGCTTTAGCAGAGAGCAGGATCTGAAAATGGAGGAGCCAAGACTCAAACTGGCACTCGTATGGGATGCTGGCCCACAGGCGGCGGCCTAACCTACTGAACCACAACACTGTCCCTCAAAACAGACTTTTTTTTTTTTGACAGGCAGAGTGGACAGTGAGAGAGAGAGAGAGAAAAGTCTTCCCTTTTCCATTGGTTCACCCCGCAATGGCCGCTATGGCCGGTGCACTGTGGTCAGCGCACCGCGCTGATCCGAAGCCAGGAGCCAGGTGCTTCTCCTGGTCTCCCATGCGGGTGCAGGGCCCAAGGACCTGGGCCATTCTCCACTGCAATCCTGGGCCACAGCAGAGAGCTGGACTGGAAGAGGAGCAACCAGGACAGAATCCGGTGCCCTGACTAGGACTAGAACCCAGTGTGCTGGCGCCGCAGGTAGAGGATTAGCCTGTTGAGCCACAGCGCCAGCCTAAAACAAACATTTTAAAATTCTGCTTTACCATGAACTTTTTGAAGTATTCTTGTATATTCTGTCTCTTCTCTATATATACATAAATATTTTCTCATTTAACTCTCACAAAAATGTATTTAAAAAGAAGCACTATTATTTTTTTAAAGCTGTACCATCTTTTTTTTTTTAAAGATCTATTTATTTATTTGAAAAGAAGGGATACAGAGAGGCAGAGAGAGAAGAGAGGTCTTCCATCCACTAGTTCACTTCCCAAATGGCCACAATGGCTGGAGCTTGGCCCGACCAAGGCCAGGAGCCAGAAGATTCTTCTGAGTCTCCCACGCTGTTGCAGAGGCCCAAGCACTTGGGCCATCTTTTACTGTGTTCCCAGGCCATAGCAGAGAGCTGGATCAGAAGTCGAGCAGCTGGGACTCAAATCAGCACCCATATGGGATGCCAGGACTGCAGGCAGTGGCTTTACCTGCTACACCACAGCGCTGGCCCCAGCACTATTGTTTTTTTTAATAGATGAGAAAACTGAGGTTTAGGAGAGTTATAATTTTCCCTGTGTCACACAACTAGCAAGTGTTAGATGGTTATTTTTTCAGTTTATCTGTTACGAAATTGGAGATACATTCTCACCATATAGAGTTGAGAGCTTTTGATGAATAAAAGGTTGAATCGGGTGGAAGAGAAGCTTGGAGGCAGTGAAATTAAAGATAATTGCAATCATTCAGGGAAGAAAGATGAGACCCCTGACTAAGTGGGTATGGTATTAAGAATGCAGGACTGTAGTGGGTTTAAGAGATAGCTCCATAGGTAGTACTGAAAATAATTTAGCAGGGGCCGGTGCAGTAGGTTAATCCTCTACCTGCGGTTTTGGCATCCCATATGGGTGCTGGTTCATGTCCCAGCTGCTCCTCTTCTGATTCAGCTCTCTGCTATGGCCTGGGAAAGCAGTGTAAGATGGCCCAAGTCCTTGGGCCCCTGTACCCACATGGGAGGCCCGGGTGAAGCTCCAGGCTCCTGGCTTCGGATCGGCACAACTCTGGCCATTGCAGCCAACTGGGGAGTGAACCAGCGGATGGAAGACCTCTCTTTCTCTCTCTGCCTCTCCTCTCTGTGTAACTCTGACTTTCAAATAAATAAATCTTAAAAAAAAAAAGAAGTGAAGCAGCCAGAACTTGAACCAGTGTCCCAGGTGGCACCTCAATCATCTTCACCACAATGATAGCCACTCTCTGTTTCATTGGAAAATAAAATAATTTCTAATTTTTTTTTAAAAAACCCCTCCTCTCTGAATGGCCTTTCTTGACCATTCCCTCTAAATTGGCACCTACTGTCCCAGTCACTGTCACATTACACTGTTTGATTTTTGCCATAGGCCTTATCAACTAAAGTTTGCTTACATGAGAAGCAATAACATAATTTTTAAGAGGATGAACTTTTTTTAAAGATTTATTTATTTACTTGAAAGGGAGAGAAACCAAGTGAGAAACAAATCTTCCATCCACTGATTCTCTTCCCAAATGGCCTCAACAGCCAGGGTGAGCCAAGCCAAAGTCAGGAGCCTGGAACTCCGCCTGGGTTTCCTATGAACGTGGCAGATGCCCAAGCACTTGGACCATCTTCTGCTGCTCTCTTAAGTGCATTAACAGGGAGCTGGATCAGAAGTACAACAGCTGGGACTCAAACTGGTACTCATGGGATGCCAGCATTGCAGGTATTGGCTTAATCCACTTTACCACAACACCGGCTTCAAGGACAAACTACCATATTAGGTTCTTGCATTCAAATCTTGTCTCTGCCGGTGTTGTGGCATA